TCCCAAATGATAACGTACCTTGGCTGTTCTGGACCATCTACCTGATCTGGTGGAATGAGTGTGTTATGTAGGGTGTACAGGAATGTGATCAGATGGGCAGAGTTGTAGGGGCCAAGGGTAGCATGGTGATGGATGATGCCATGGTAGCCAAGCGCTGCACACATTGTGATGTTCCCTCCACGCTGGCCAGGGACATCAACAATGGCACGCTGGCCAATGATATTCCTTCCCCTCTTTCGTCTTTTTGTGAGGTTGAATCCAACCTCAATTAAGATGAACTGGTGCTCCACTGCAGCTGCCTCTAACTCAAGGACTCTCTGAAACACACATGACAATATCAGAAATAAACGTGGAGTGGTCACTATTGTGAAGCACAATCAGTATGATTACACTATTGAAATATGTATAATTTACTGTACACAGTGTTGAGTGTATGCATCAGTTGTGGGACTCACTTGCACATAGTTATATCGCAATTCTTTGACTCTGAGTTTCGTTCAAATGGCACCCTGTAGCTCTGCTTCATCCTGAGATGATTTCTGCGCAAGACACGGTCCAGAGTTGATAGGCTGACCCCATGAATATTTTGAAACATGTCGTTGTTTTCGATACATTTTCTTTGTATTTGCCGTAATGTTATGGCATTGTTTTCTAGGACCATGTTGAGGATTTCAATTTTCTGTTCAGGTGACAGAAGACGACCTTCTCGTGTTGGTAATTTTTCAGTTCTGCCAAACAAATAGTAAAATAATGTGAATACAAAGTAGGTATACATTTCCTAAATACTGGAAACATACTTTACAGTATATTTTACTGTCCAACAAAACCATCCACAGGCAATACTACTACTATACTCATTGAATACTGATTGTATTGACATGCAGTACTGCCATTTTCTAGTGAGAGAACATTTCTTACCTATTCTTATTTCGGAAAGCCTGGATGATGGATGCTACAGTGTACCTGCTCAAATTTGGCTGTGCTCTTTGCCCAGCCTCCCTCATTGTAAGACCATGGTTGACCACATGATCAACCAAAGTGGCTCGGATCTCATCAGAGATTACGGTCCTTGGTCTTCCTCATCCTCCCCGTCCTCCTCTCACTCTCACTCTCACTCCTCTGGCTCTGCCTCTGTTTCCAATGTTGGCATCCATTGCTCCAAAACAGAGGAGCTCAACTGTTGCCCTTTTATGCTAAAGCTCTGATTGCTAATTGTAAAACAGTGTGACAGGTGTTTGCCCTTGTGATGAGTCAGTGTGTATATTTCAATAGCAGTGTGTTCCTTGTGAAAACAAGATATTTTCTGCATGAAAATTGTGCCAACAGCAGAGAATTGTGTGTAGTGTTTTGAAAAAACTGTGTTTTAGATTTGCAATTTGAGTGCAAAGCAGGAATTGTGCTTGTAGTTTAGCAGAATTGGTTAAGGGGGTTGGTGAATTGGTTACATGTTGTGGTCATTGTGTCTCAAGTACCAGAAAATGTGTGTAAACAATTGAGAAAACCTGTAATACTGAAGGGAAATCTCCAACACATGCAGTAAAAACTGGCGGAACAACAGAATGGTGTTGGGGTGACCTTTGGTACAATGGAAGTTGCATGTGCACACCTGAGGCACAAATGTGTAGACGGACCAAAGTGGACCAAAGCTGGTCAGGCAAAGAATTCAAGCTGAGATCAGGAGCAAAATAAGTCCATCTTCAGAAAAACCACGCTCAAAAACAGCTCTCTTTGCAACCAGGAGGATTTTGCTCACTGCCACCAGACAGATGGTGATGATGGAGACAGAGATGGAGAGGAAGAGGAGCAGGCCGAAGATGTTGCACCACAGTATGGAGCTAGGATTGGGACAATATTCAATGTAACTTGTACCAAACAACATGTTTCATGACACGTAACTTTGGATTCGTAACTTGTAACTTTAGTTTTCTAACTTGTAATTCTCAATTTGTACTTGTATTTCTTGTTTTGTAACAGGAAAATTTCATTTTGTACATGTATTATTTATTTTGTAAAATCAATCTTTTATTTTGTACATTTGCTACTCATTTTGTCGGTACAGGATCTGCTCGGGTGCAAGATCGGCTCGGAGTCCTTCGACTGCCGATGACGTCAAAGTACGGCAAACCCACTCGGACAAAATACACTACACATCTATACTGTTGGAAAGAATTTAGCAGTTTCATTATTAAAATGTTTCTTAAGACGTAAGTTTGTGTTTATAATGGTATTAGTAAAATAAAACACTATATTTTATTCATAATGTTGAACTCCTCTTTGAGCACATCCCTTGAAGGATAATAAGTATTAGCAACACCAGTGAAATTATATTTGGAGGAAAGAAGTGTGTCCCGTTTATCGAAGTGTTTTGTGTTTAGTTTTTGACGTCTTGTCCATGCGTAGTTCAGTTACGCTCATAGCTGCCAGCCAAAACTCTGGAGTTAAAAGTTTTCTGGCTTTACTAAAATACCTGTCTGTACTTATTTGATTGATGGTAGTTTTACTTTCTATTAGACTCCAAATGTAATCATTTGGCACGTTTCTAATTCATAATTTGTAATAATGTAATCGTCGATTTTAGCATTAGCATTCCTAAGGGTTTTTCCATGTCTATTAGCATTGCGCTAACCACTCGCTACCAAATTGCAGACTTTGCGATTAGAAAACCTCCTTTTGTCACATCGCAATTTAATTGCACATGCAGTTAATTGTTCAGCCCCAATATACATGCAGCTCTATGCTAAAAGTGTATTTTCAAAGAGGTAATGATGGATTTCTTTGTAAAAGTTGTCCATCTTTCCAACAGAAAGATTTGCCTGGACCAATGTAACGTGATAACAACGTAACATGATTACGTAATTCCGTAAGGTTCATGTTCAGCCAATCAACTACTTTGACGTCATTTGCTCCATTCCCCTCTAAGGATCCCCTTATGTGTCTCTTTGTGTTCCTCATGTGTCCCCTGGTCTTCAGCCCTCCAGATGATCCCTCCCAGGTCCTGTGTTCCTTTGGTCTCCCCCAGTCACCCCTCTGCAGTTTTTTTTAGGTTCAGCTTTTCATTTTATTAGTCTCTTTAGTGTGTTTTCCCACAGGTTTTTGTAGATGTCCTTCCCCCTTAGAATATTAGTTATTTTTGCTGCTTTTCTTGTCTTTAGGTTTTAACTCTAAGGTCATGTTAGTTTCTTCCCTGATTGCTTTCACTTGGTTTCTCTCCCCACACACCTGCAGCCTATCTGTCTCCCATCATGCCCCAGTGTATATAACCCTGTCTGCGTCTCTATCTGTGGCTGGGCCTTTGTATTTGTCACCTTTGTCTCGTTTCCCTCTTTAGTCTTGGATCTTCATTTTGGATTCTAGGTTTTGTATTTTGGGACTTTGATTTTGTGCCTTGGCTCCCTGCCTTTTTGGACTGATCATTAGTAAAATGATTTTTACTTCATTGCTCCACTAAGCGTCATCTGGTTCTCTGCATCTTTGGGTCCCAACCTCCTCTTGGCTCCCCATCGTGACAATTTTAACTCAAACCAAGTTCATTACCAAGTCCATTACCAGGTTTGACTATGAGCTGAAGTGTAGAAAACAAAAAACTGAGCAAAGATAAAACATTTAAAAGGTTTATGAAAAGGTGTTTGTGCATGTGTCCAGTGTCTGACGACCCAAGGACCCAGGTGTCGTAGGGTCCAGGTGTCAAAGTGTCAAAGTGTCCAGTGTTCCAGGCGTCTGAGGGTCCAGGTGTCAAAGTGTCAGTGTCCAGTGTTCCAGGCATCTGAGGGTCCAAGGTCCCAGGTGTCCAGGGTTCCAGGTGTCCAGTGTGCCAGGTGTCGTGGGGTCCGGGTGACCAGGTGTCCAGTGTGCCAGGCATCTGAGGCTCCAAGGTCCCAGGTGTCCAGGGTTCAAGTGTCCAGTGTGCCAGGTGTCGTGGGGTCCGGGTGTCCAGGTGTCCAGTGTTCCAGGCATCTGAGGGTCCAAGGCCCCAGGTGTCCAGTGTGCCAGGTGTCCAAGGGTCCAGTCTGGAATGAAAAAAGCCACAAATAACAGATTGAGTTAATTTACTAAAATGTGTGTGTGTGTGTGTGTGTGTGTGTGTGTGTGTGTGTGTGTGTGTGTGTGTGTGTGTGTGTGTGTGTGTGTGTGTGTGTGTGAGTGTGTGTTTGTGTGTGTGATGTGTGTGTGTGTGATGTGTGTATGCATGCTTGATGTGTGTGCGTGTGTGCATGCGTGCATGTGTGATGTGTGTGTGTGCGTGTGCATGCAATAAGAAAGGGGAGGTGGTGTCCTGACAGGGGAATCCTACTAGTTGCAGATAGCAGATTCCCAACTTACCATTGTCCCCACCCTCCAGAAAAAGAAAAAAAAAGTGATGTGTCTGTGGTGCAAAAACTAAGAGCACAGGTCAAAGGTCAGAGCAGGTGGTTGAAGGGCGAGGCTGCTGGTTGACAACCTCACCCATCCCACCCTCACCCTAGTCCCAAACCCTGTCCCACAAAGTATTAGTGTTTATCTGTGTGTGTGTGTGTGTGTGTGTGTGTGTGTGTGTGTGTGTGTGTGTGTGTGTGTGTGTGTGTGTGTGTGTGTGTGTGTGTGTGTGTGTGTGCGTGCAGTAAGAAAGGGGAGGTGGTGTCCTGACAGGGGAATCCTACTAGTTGCAGATAGCAGATTCCCAACTTACCATTGTCCCCACCCTCCAGAAAAAGAAAGAAAAAAAACGTGACGTGTCTGTGGTGCAAAAACTAAGAGCACAGGTCAAAGGTCAGAGCAGGTGGTTGAAGGGCGAGGCTGCTGGTTGACAACCTCACCCATCCCACCCTCACCCTAGTTCCAAACCCTGTCCCACAAAGTATTAGTGCTTATCTGTGTGTGTGTGTGTGTGTGTGTGTGTGTGTGTGTGTGTGTGTGTGTGTGTGTGTGTGTGTGTGTGTGTGTGTGTGTGTGTGTGTGTATGCCCGCGATGTGTGCATGTGTCCGTGTGTGCAATGTGTGTGCATGTGTCCGTGTGTGCAATGTGTGCGCGTGTGTACGTGCGCGGTGTGTGTGCGTGTGTGCATGCGTGCGTTATGTGTGTGTGTGTGTGTGCATGTGTCTGTGCAATGCGTGTGAGTGTCAGCATGTGTGTGTGTGTGTGTGTGGTCATTGGTCTGAATGTGGGTTTACAAACAGTAAAACCCTAGAAAAGTGAACACAACAAAGGATATATAAAAAGATATTCCAGATGTTGGTCACTGGCTGCGGCTGCTCCCCCCTGGGCTGCTGGATGCTGCAACAGAAAGATAAAAATACCATCAGTTCTGGGACTTTTTAAAGGAAACACTTAGCTTCAACAACCTGAATAACCCCAACATAAAGCATATAAACACACATGTAAAGTTCATCTAAATCCATTCAACAGTCAAGCTGTGGTGACATCATCACATCTAATGATCCACAGAAATGTTTCTTACCTGCAGAGCTGGCGGCCGGCTCCTTCTTAACGCGTTTTGCCTTCTGGTCCCAAAAACACACACACGAGCTTTATATCAGTAAGTGTTCATCAGCATCAGGTGTGTGAGTTCATGGTGTCTGAGCAGAGTGTACTTACAGGGTTGTAGTTGGGGACCCAGCCCGGGTGCTGCTGCTTGTGGAGCCTCTGTTCCTCGTGAGCCTGGTCGAAGTAGATGCTCCTCTGCTCAGGAGACAGTTCCCTCCACTGTGAACAAAAGACAGTGAGACAAGCTGTTGGTGAACAATAATCCATGGAAGCAAAACCATCATCTTTCTGTCGCAAACGCACTTACCCTCTGGCCTACGACGGCGTTGACAGCAGCGCTGTCTTTCGGATTCAGCTCAGCCACCACCTTTGGCCTCTGGTCCTGCAGGAAGATCATGAAGGCATTTAGTGGCTTCTTCACATAGGGGCGGTCCTGCTGCTGGTGCTCACGCTTTCTCTTTCTGTAGAGACAAAACACAACACACACCTGTCAGCATCTACATCCTGGAAATGTGGTAAACTTTATAGATATTTTATTCTGAAATGGTCAAGTCAAAACTTACTTTGGGTTAGAGACTGGAGCACAACCAGGAGCAGCAGGTGGAATGCCAGGAAGAAGAAAGAATGGTGGAAGAGAAGAGACAGTGGAAGTATGAGGAGCAGAAACAGGAGCAGCAGGTGGAATGCCAGGAAGAAGAAAGAATGGTGGCAGAGAAGAGACAGTGGAAGTATGAGGAGCAGAAACAGGAGCAGCAGGTGGAATGCCAGGAAGAAGAAAGGATGGTGGCAGAGAAGAGACAGTGGGAGTATGAGGAGCAGAAACAGGAGCAGCAGGTGGAATGCCAGGAAGAAGAAAGAATGGTGGCAGAGAAGAGACAGTGGAAGTATGAGGAGCAGAAACAGGAGCAGCAGGTGGAATGCCAGGAAGAAGAAAGGATGGTGGCAGAGAAGAGACAGTGGGCATATGAGGAGCAGAAACAGGAGCAGCAGGTGGAATGCCAGGAAGAAGAAAGGATGGTGGAAGAGAAGAGACAGTGGGAGTATGAGGAGCAGAAACAGGAGCAGCAGGTGGAATGCCAGGAAGAAGAAAGGATGGTGGCAGAGAAGAGACAGTGGAAGTATGAGGGGGAGAAACAGGAGCAGCAGGTGGAATGCCAGGAAGAAGAAAGAATGGTGGCAGAGAAGAGACAGTGGGAGTATGAGGGGGAGAATCAGGAGCAGCAGGTGGAATGCCAGGAAGAAGAAAGGATGGTGGCAGAGAAGAGACAGTGGGAGTATGAGGAGGAGAAACAGGAGCAGCAGGTGGAATTCCAGGAAGAAGAATGGATGGTGGCAGAGAAGAGACAGTGGAAGTATGAGGTGAAGGCAGAGAAGAAACAACAGGAGGAGAGGGTGGGAGGTAAAGAAAAGCAGTAGGAGAAAGTGGAGGAGCTAAAAAAGGAGATGGAGGAGGGGGAGGTGAAGCAGGAGGAAAAGAAGGAAGGAAAGGTGAGGGAGAATGTCGAAGAAGAGGAGAAGGTGGAGGAGAAATAGAAGGAAGAAGAGGTGAGGGAGGATGTTCAAGAAGAGGAGAAGGTGGAGGAGAAAAAGGAAAGGCCTGGTAGTCCTGAAGGATCTCGTCCAGAAGGGAGAAGTCCCCTATGTCCCTCTCAAAACTCTCCAGGAGGTTCATGTTGTCCTCCATCGTTCTGTGACACAGGATGAGAAGAAGAAGCTTTAAAACCCGTAACAAGACGTCAGACATCATGGCATCAGAGACATCAAACAGGAAACATCACATCCACTGTTACTGGTAACAAACTGATCTCTGATCAGTTTCTACAGTCAGATCCATGTCTATCACAGCGACCGAAGCAACAGCTGTTACATGTGAACCATTTCATCTCCAGCCCTCTGTTTAAACACCAGTTTCTGAAGATTATTGTTGTGTTTTACTTCACTAAGTGAAACGTTTGGATTTCAGTTGTGAATTTAGTTTATTCTCCATGTTTTAAACCGAACGCAGTCTCACTGGAGATACTTTATGTTATTGTCTCAGCAGGTTTCAGATCTATGAAGAGAAACTTTCAGTTGTGTTGTTTACATCAGGCTGTGCTTCGTTTTCTTATCCGGCTCGTTCAGAAACACACTTTTAGGATCAAACGGAGATGGAAACAAAAAGGATTTCTGTTCACATCCTTCTGCTCAGTTTTAGGTCGGATGTGAACGAAACAGCCACCGATCCCAGCTGAGTCAGCATCACCACAGCGACCAGAAGCCACCGCGTGTAGATCTAGATTATAAAAGCTCAGCTGGAGAAATCACTTTATTCTACTCTATGTGGTTTATTCAGTAGCCTTTGCTCTTTTTAATCAGGAACTCGATCAACACTAGATCCATTTTTGAATGTAAACAAGTCTAAATAGATTGCTCACTTAATGTTATTAAAGTTATAACTTATTCACTGATGAAAAGTGGCATTTATTTCTATTTCTGACAAACTGGTGCAGAAATAAAGATCAGTCCCTTCACCAGACACCACTACTGTACACGGCAGATAGCATGTAGGTGTAGTTTATAGAAATGTACGTTTATAACTCATATTTCAGATTCAAAGTAGTTTTATCTTGACTGTTTATCTGAAATCTGACCTTCTTAAGGGGTTTTTGTTTATTTTGTTTTTTCCAGCAGGTGTATTTTATATAAATGATAAAACCAGTTTCCCTTAAGGGATGTTAAAGTCTCCCAGTAAAGCACAGGAAACACTTCAGATACATCTAAAAGTCTAAACATGTCAGATGTTGGGTTAGGTTTGTTTGTGGGTAGTTTTATTACCTGCTAGAGCTGCTCTCTGGAAGACCAGTCAGCAAACACAGAGACCGCAGAGAAAAGGTCCTACTCTCTCGAGATGGAACTTATACTGAAGTCTGAAAGGTTCTAGCCTTAATAATAAAGCATTTTAAACGATGCACCTGAGCTGTAACTATGGTAACGCAAGATTCCACATTCTGTCATAGTTGACAGACAGCGCTCCATAGGGAGCCAAAGTCATGCCCATCTACTTCCGGACCACGGGTTCCCGGAAGACCAAAAAAATGAATGCAAGTCAACGGGGCTAAAAATGCTAGTTTCTAATTCTGCTTGTTGTGTGCCATGGATTTCACATATGATGTCCATGAAGATGCATTTTAATACCAAGAACGTGTTTATTTTCGAAAGGGAGGAAACGTTATTTTAAGTTTTGTGTAATAAGTCCAGGACTACAAATTCGCTTTGTGAAAGTGACATCAACGAAGCAGGCACGGAGAAAAACAGGGCAAATGGCAGAGATTCTGTAGTGGCGTCATATATGCAACATGTCGATGTCGGATTTGTAGTCACGCTAACATCGAACATTTACAAGATGATACATTTCTAAGTACGTGACTGGGATGATTGAAACACGCATCGTTGGATGTCATTTAAATTGAAGTACAACATATGTGCGATCCAGGACGTAAGGCAAAGTGGATTAGAAAATAGAGTTTTAGCTCCGTTGACTTGCATTTCCTTCTTCCGGGGACCCATGAGCCGACCGGAAAAGGAGGAGTCGTAGGCTTCCTATTGTAGTGAAGTAGGAAGTGCAGATAGTGGCTTTAAAAATTAGTGAAGTAAAAGTGAAAAGTAGACCTGAAGAAAATAAGTAAAGTACAAACAAAGAAAAGCTTGACATGTTATATTATATTCAATAACTTCATTACTTTTTAAAAGATTTATTTTTGTTTGCATTTTAAATTCTGTCATCCTGTCCCTCTAAACGTGATTTAACATAAAAGTAGCCATCATCAGGTGTGCCTCATATGCATAAGAATGATCGGATCAGAGACCAGATGTTTGATGACTTAGAAATATATTTAATAAAAAGATATCAGAACTTAAAGAAGATGAAACAATCCTCATCAGACAAAAAACAAACTGTTTGACATCAAATAAATTTTTCTTTGGTCTTGATGCTCATATAGCAGTAAAGGTTATAAATATAAAGAGAGATTTCAGCTTTCCTGGTAGTGTTTAATCAAAGAGCAATGTGACAAAAACTATAAGTTACTTAGAAGTTAAATACGTACATAAAGATAACCTGCAGTTGAGCCTCTTGACCTTTCTGTTTGCTAAATCAAGCCAAATGACTCTTCTATTAGCTGATGGATCCATTTTTAAATGTAAACAAGTCTAAATTGTTTGCTCACTTAATGTTATTAAAGTTATAACTTATTCACTGATGTAAAGTGGCATTTATCTATATTTCTGTCAAACTGGTGCCGAAATAAAGATCAGTCCCTTCTCCAGACACCACTACTGTACACGGCAGATAGCACGTAGGTCTAGTTATAGAAATATACGTTCATAACTCATATTTCAGATTCAAAGTAGTTTTATCTTGACTGTTTATCTGTAATCTGACCTGCTTAAGGGGTTTTTGTTTGATTTTTTTTCCAGCAGGTTTATTTTATATAAATGATAAAACCAGTTTACCTTGAGGGATGTTAAAGTCTCCCAGTAAAGCACAGGAAACACTTCAGATAAATCTAAAAGTCTAAACACGTCAGATGTTGGGCTAGGTTTGTTTGTGGGTAGTTTTATTACCTGCTAGAGCTGCTCTCTGGAAGACCAGTCAGCAAACACAGAGACCGCAGAGAAAAGGTCCTACTCTCTCGAGATGGAACTTATACTGAAGTCTGAAAGGTTCTAGCCTTAATAATAAAGCATTTTAAACGATGCACCTGAGCTGTAACTATGGTAACGCAAGATTCCACATTCTGTCATAGTTGACAGACAGCGCTCCATAGGGAGCCAAAGTCATGCCCATCTACTTCCGGACCACGGGTTCCCGGAAGACCAAAAAAATGAATGCAAGTCAACGGGGCTAAAAATGCTATTTTCTAATTCCGCTTGTTGTGTGCCATGGATTTCACATATGATGTCCATGAAGATGCATTTTAATACCAAGAACGTGTTTATTTTCGAAAGGGAGGAAACGTTATTTTAAGTTTTGTGTAATAAGTCCAGGACTATAAATGCGCTTTGTGAAAGTGACATCAACGAAGAAGGCACGGAGAAAAACAGGGCAAATGGCAGAGATTCTGCAGCTTGACTGTTGAATGGATTTAGATTAACTTTACATGTGTGATTATATGCTTTATGTTGGGTTTATTCAGTTTGTAGAAGCAAAGTGTTCCCTTTAAAAAGTCCCGACTAGACTAGAGCCCTGCACTGAAGCCCTAGGCCCTCGGGTCGGCCCGGCCCGAAGGCCCGAGGGCCGGGCTTTGGGCCAACGACTGTGTAATTACCTCGGACACGGGCCGGGCGCCTTTATTTTTAATCGAATTCATTAAAAAAAATTTAAACACTTAAACGCAGTAGTAGAGCCCTGCGCGGGACTGTTTTCTTCATCCCGCTCCTGCCTGCTCCTGCTGAATTTCTGACCATTACTGCCCGCAACTGCAACGTGTGTGTTACCCCGGCTTTCCACAGGAGCCGTCAGCAGCACGTCATAGCTGCTGATAGGAACCGCTGTGGTTAACAGAACCTTTTCCACTGGAGCCGTCAGCAGCCGTCAGCAGCGCGAGTCGGCCGCGTCTCAGGAGCAGCATGTCGCGGCCTTTACGCGCCGGTTCTATTTTCTACGCGCGACGCCTCTGAAACGGGTCAAGTTCGACATTTTTGGGGAAGGAAAGACAGGAAATGGGACGCAGAAATGGAGAGAAGGTCCCGAGATTTTCAGAATAAAGAACGTACTGCCTTCCGGTTGCTTTACTTTTAAAAAAGGTTACTAACTGTGCTGCCCCGTGAGAAGTTATCACCTAGCTAGCGGTCTCCTTTGTTATTCAGGTCCGTATTGGCGATTATAAAACGGACAGAACATAAAACACAAACCATGTTGTAGTTTTCTCCTGCTTGTTGTTGTGTTTAC